ATCCAGACCTGCTTAATCCCAGTCTTGCTTTTACTATACCAAGTGGATTACTGCTGTATATGTCTGATTTTATGATTCAGTGAACCAGATAATACTCTGTTCACGATGGGCTGTTCTTTTTATACTGTCTCTTGGTTTTCCATAGGTGGGCATCTAATCTTTTCCTGGGCCTAGTAACAAGCCAGGAACCACAGACAGTGGTTGCTGGCAAATCCTAAGGTATCTGAAACTGTTACTCTTTTCTGGGTGCTTATCAGAGAAAGGGTCCTTAACCCTTTCCTGTTTGCCATGTCATTTCCAGTACTACTGGGTGGGCTGAGGCATAGGCTCAAAGGTTAGGGCAGCTTTCATTGCTCTAGAACCTTCTCTTGGAATGGGCTTTAGTAAAAACTGGCAGCCTCATAGGTTACCCAGTAAATGGGTCAGAACAGCATATCCAAGTTTTGAAACTCATCATTTGTTTTACCTCTTTCTCAGTGGAAGTGGTGCAAGGTGAAGTAATTTTTCTCACTTGAAATGGGATATCTTGGCTCAGACCAGGGGAATCCTAGAAGCCGTCAATGTGATGAATCCCTGAATTTTCATGAGTTTTTTTCTCCCATTCTCTGGCTTGGGACATGGGTCCATGTCTTACACAAGTATCCAGGGTGCTTGCTAGTTCTGGCTCACCAGGTCCAGTTAAGATAATGCTATCCATGTGATGGACCAATGTGGTGGTCTGTGGGCTGTCAGGGTGATCAAGGACTCTCCAGACTATATTATGGCAATGCAGACATAGCCCTCAGGTGAGACAGTGAAGGTATACTCTCTTTCTGCTACTTCATGCAATTTGCATCTCATTGTCCTTACAGATGATAGAAAAGAAAGCATTTACCAGGTCAGTAGTCATACCAGGTGTCTGGGGTTATGCTAATTTTCTTTAGCAAAACAATACCAAATTTACAAGCTCATTTGTAATTGATATCACCATCTGATTAAATTATAGTAATCTATTGTCGTGTTCCAAGTTCTTTCCAGCTTTGACCTAGGTAAATGGGCAAGTTAAATGGGGATATAAGAAGATTCAACACCGCTGCATCCTTAAAGTTTTTGATAGTGGTACTGATTTCTGAGCTTTTCCCATGGATGTGGTATAGCTTTTGGTTACTTTCTTAATAGGAAAAGGGGAGTCAGTTCCAGAGCTTCTTCATGGCCTTTTCTCCCATTATAGCTTTAATGACATGGGACAGGGAACCAATATGGGAATTTGGCCAGTTACTAAGTATATCTACTGCCACTACAATTCTGTTACTAGGGAAATAAGCACAGGATTGGCCTATGATCCCATTGGACCCACTGTGATTCACACTTACTCTTTTACCTTACCTCTGAAAGTCTCATTCTAACTCGTAGACCATGTTTTGGGTCTCTAGGAGATTAGTGTTATTTCAGAGCTAGTATCCAGTAACCCTTGGGAATATTATTTGTTCCCCTTTCTGTAGTGGACAGTCATCCTGGGGAAAGATCCACAGTATATGCCTTTGGCCATTTGAAGGGTCACAATAGACTGGGTGTAGTGGCTTATGCCTACAGTCCCAGCACTTTGGGAGGTCGAGGTGGGCAGTTTGCTTGAGCTCAGGAGTTCTAGACCACCCTGGCCAACATGGTAGAAATCCCATCTCTGCCAAAAATACAAAAATTAGCCAGGTATGATGGCATATGCCTGTGGTCCCAGCTACTTGGGAGGCTGAGGTGAGAGGATTGCTTGAACCCCGGAGGTAGAGGTTGCAGTGAGCCAAGATTGCACCACTGCACTCCAGCTTAGGCGACAGAGTGAGACCCCCAACTCAAAAAAAAAGAGGTCACAGTAATCTTACATTTAGTCCCGCTTGATCTAAGATCCTTTGAATATATTCCTATATGTGCTCTCCATACTCCCACTGGTAAGTAAATTGTTGAGATCCTAAAATACTTTGGTATAAAGGCAGTCTTCTCCCAGAGTAGACTTGGAACTTCTTTCTGGGCTCTTTTGGGTGATGAGACAATGAAAGATGGTGGGAGTAGATAGGGAAGACAATTAGCATCATCAAGTTTCAAATAAAACTTGAAAGAGTTGTATTGACGGGGAGGTGTTGGGATGCAGGGTCTCCTCTGAGAGGTGCAGGCAGCTGTTTTCAGCAAGGAACTTCAGCTGAATTTGGGGTTCAGCATTCTTAGCCTCATCTATGCCTACCCAAATCCCTGTGTCTATGATTCAAGTCATTCTCCTTTCCAGCCAGTGCCGTATGTTAACACATGAGACTTTGCAGGATTATATATTGAATTGGCTCTGCAACTCTAGCCATCAAACCCTGGGCTTTATCCTTAGTCTTCTCAGCTCAGCAACTGTAAGAGATGAAGGACTCGAATAAAACAGCCGTGGATTTTCTACTCATCTCTTTGGGAATTCACAGCTTTGACTTTGTCATTTGCTTTATGCACATTCTCAGGGACAGCCAGAAGCAGCCCCAGCCCACATTGCAGTCTCTGAAGTCAGTGTTTTCATCAGCCACTTGGACTTTGAGCACTCTCCACCTGCACTCCATCCTGTGACACCATGCACAGGTGGTGGTTTGAGTGATCATGACGTCACTGTGTACTGTCTCCTCCCTCCACAGGAAGGTTGTCAGGACACTTGTCAAATACACATTCCATTTTTGAGGCTGTATTTCCTGGACTCATTCTTGGTACCAGTTAATTGGATCAGTCACATGGCACACTCAAAAGTAGTTGAAGAGAGTTTAACAAAGGGACTGTTAACTAAGATGTGGGCAGGATAACAGGAACCAGCAAGGCATGGTGAAGCACCTCTTTACTAGCAAAGTCAGAAAGCTGTTATTATTCCCAGGCCCTTCAACTGTAGCTGTGGAAGAGGGGCTGCCTGCTAGGAACTGTGGGCGTAGGTAGATAAACCACTGATGTTAGAAAGGGACCGGGGGAACAAATAACTTAGCGTCTTGCTCCTCCTACCCTCTGATTTGCTAGAGACTCTCATGGTTGAACCCAGCCAGAGAGCAAAGGCAAGGTATGCTGCTTTAGTGTGCAGTCCATACAGGTCAAACTTCTGGACTTGTGGCTGGGTGGAGAAAGAATGGCATTTGGGTCTGGAAGGGCAGATGGACACTGTCTAGTACAATTGCCAAACTAGAACCTTTAGCTCAGGTTTGAGTGTGCTTCTTGAGTGGCTTAACTACCAGCTATACCTGTTCTCTTAGATGTCCCCTGGGTACCTTATAGGAAACAAGTTGTCCTGCTTACCATCTCTTTCCTTCTCCTTTATTCCTGATGCCTCTTAATGTGATATCTTACTGTCCCTTCCAAAAGGAGGACCTGAGGAATTCTGCTTCTGTAGGCTGTAGCACAGCAAGATACAAACAGATAAATGCCAGAAGGACCTGCCACCCTGACACCACATTCTCAAGGGAGAGGTGTGGAAAGTGTAGCTCATAACCTTCACCCTCTCAATGTCTCTGCTGGAGGAGGAGAAACATGAGCTAATGTGGCTTCTGAGGTTGCAGGACAGGGCCAGTTGCCTTAGAAGTGCAGTGGGTTCTACCTGCTCTCGTGCTTAGGCAGTAGATTACTCTGACAGGCGGGCCAAATTCTGATCAGGTGCTGCCCAGGTATTACTGGGGCAAAGCAGCTGCTATTATGGGGCTTTAGAATGCTGTAATTTGCAGACAGATGCTGTACTCTTTGTTGAGGAGGGACCAATTACATGTCTGTATATTCTAACAACTAATTCAGCTACATAGAAATATTTCCTGACTGCATTTCTAGCAGCAAATCAAACAAGGGAAGCTTTGAATCATCTTAAAGCTTAAAGGAAGCATTCTTATAATGAGTTAAAACTCATTATACCTGAATATTCAATACCTGCTGATATATATTTTAAATCATTACCTGAACATAATTTATTTGTAGTATTCAGATCTGTTACAGTGAGTTCCTAAAACTAACCATCCAGGGAAATTATCCAAGCAAACTGACACTTTAAAAAGTATTATCTAGTCTGAGCCCAGTGGCTAATGCCTGTAATCCTGGAATGTTGGGAGATGAAGGTGGCAGGAATGTTTTAACCCAGGAGTTCAAGACCAGCCTGGGCAACAGTGAAACTCCAGTTCTTAAAAAAAAAAGTATTGTTTGAGCCAGGCATGATGGTCTGTGCCTATAGTCACAGCTACTTGGGAAGATAACTCAAGCAGGAAGATAACTCAAGCTCAGGAGTTTGAGGCTGTAGTGCACCATGATTGCACCTGTAAATAGCCACTGCACTCCAGCCTGGGCAACATAGCAACACCCTGTCTCTAAAAGAAAGGTATTATTTGGTGTCAGAGTATGGGGTGCTCTGTGTAGCAAAGGTGACATCTCTAGCCCTCTGTTCATGGGTGGGATGATATTTAACATACTGCATTTATTCTGTATAAAGATCTACTGTAATGCCTCTGACCAGAGGTTTAGTACAAAGGAATCATCCACAGTTATAATGCAGCATAGTACAGTGGTTAAGAGTTGGAACTCGAGTCAGATGGCCTGGGTTCAAATCCTAGATGTACAAATTATTTCACTTCTCTGTGTTTCAGTTGCCTCATTTGTAAAATGAGTAAATAGTTATGTACTATACAGGATTGTAATCTGAATTGTTCGGCACACTTGACTGGTTCATCCTAATGCAAGAGGTCTGAAAACCACACTTTGGTTACCTCCCATCTAGATCTTTTCTAGGTGAGAATTAACCCTTAGTCTACATGAACTGGGGTGTATAAGTTCCCGGAATTTTCTAATAGTAAGGAAGGTAGATGGACTGCAGATATTTGTGGCTTGTAATAGAAACATAACAAATTAAATCTCTAATCTGGGCTGAGACCGATGAGCAAAAATAAATTCCTTTCAGAGTAAACATAAAATTAGTCCCATGCTTAAGAAATGACATAGTATTTTAAAATTGTTTTGCTAATCACTTTTTTTTTCTGTTGGTTAAGGTTGCATGATGGAATTTGAACATTACTTCAAGAGGTTTTATATTTTGGATTAGCTAATCGGGGTTGTCCTCTGCTGACTGTTTCTTCGGACGCAGCTTTTGGTGTGCTTTTGAGGCATTAAATGCAAAGAGATCATACCATGGACTACAAGGAAAGCTGCCCAAGTGTAAGCATTCCCAGCTCTGATGAACACAGAGAGAAAAAGAAGAGGTTTACTGTAAGTATGTAACATAAAGCATGTGGGGGGAAAATTGAATCTAGAGAATATTTCCATTTCTGCTTTTCTCCTTCAACCTAGAACACCTCCTTCCCCATCTCCACATATCTAGATTTTACTTATTTCACATGATCTGTTCTCCACAAAGTCTTCATGGCTACTGTAATGGAATAAATTTTCCTTTTTTAGTGTCTCTTTACTTATCCTCTTGGAGAATTGTATGAAACTATCTAAATAATCTTCTTAACAGAAAATGTGATGTGCATACACCTGGATCTATGCACACACTTATCATTTTGCGTGCACTGTCAGGGATTAATGGACTGGTGAAGTCATCGATTCCATATTAAGAACTACTGCCCTGAAATGTTTATACATCTCTCAGTTTTAAAATATTTAATTTGGTATTTTATTTTTTTTCACCTTAAGGGCTAAACCATTTCTAATTTTATCTTTTATCACGGTAGTATCTACTATAGGGTTTTATAAAGAGTAAGCACAATGAATATTTGCTTAATCTGTGGATCAGTTTCTATTATGGAGAATAGTCACTTTTCTTACTAGTGTGATGAAATATGCAATATTGTATTTCATTCCAGTAGTCCTATTAGTATGTACAGAGGTCTCCTGGCTTCCTCCCCTGAAGAAGCCATTTATCGTGTGTATTACTGATCTGCCCTTCCTTGTAACTCCCTATGCTTCGTACCTACTGAATAATATGAAGAAATTCATTTAGCCCAATTCTGTTTAATACTTAGTCTAATCTAATAATTTAACCAGGTCTCAGGATAAAATGCTTAGCCTCTCTTACTTCTAATTTCTCTCTCACCTGAACACATATCTTCCTCAGATTGGCATCACGGTTTATGGGAGGAGAGGCGTCCCCTTTCATAGTCACTTTTTTTGGAGGGGGGATGGGGTCTTGTTTTGTCACCCAGGCTAGAGTACAGTGGTGCAATCTTGGCTCACTGCAACCTCCACCTCCTGGGGGTCAAGTGATTCTCCTGCCTCAGCCTCCTGAATAGCTGGGACTACAGGGTGCACAGCACCATGCCTAGTTATTTTTTGTATTTTTAGTAGAGGTGGGGTTTTACCAGGTTGGCCAGGATGGTCTCAAACTTCTGACCTCGTGATCCACCCACCTCAGCCTCCCAGAGTGCTGGGATTACAGGCGTGAGCCACTGCTCTGGGCTCACAGTATTTTTGAGTTAGAAAATGACCTCATGGTAGCCTGGTGAAGGCTCTTGAGTTCTTGCTATCCCTCTAGGTCTTTGCCATTTGAGCTGTAAATTGGCTGGTCTGGCGGATAGCTAGCTATGACTCACTTGATAACTTGGGCATTTTGCTGGTACCCATTGCTGGCACCTGCAGTTGATGAACTAACTTGTGATCTCTTTGTTGGCTTGGCCAGGGTCTTGTGGCAACTCACCACTGACTCAGAGGCTCTGACATGTCCTTCACCTGCTCCTGGCTCAGTAGTCCACCCTAGCCTCTAAAAAGGGGGTCACCTGGTCACTGCCAATTGAGTCTCATGAAAGGTGACTTTCAACTCAGAGTTCCTGTCACAGGGCAGTTGAGGAAAGCTGAGGAGTTAAACTAAATCCTTTGACTACTTCTCTCTGCCTCCTTTTTTTTTTTTTGAGACAGTTTCACTCTTGTTATCCAGGCTGGAATGCAATGACGCAATCTCGGCTCACTGCAACCTCCGCCTCCTGGGTTCAGGCAATTCTCCTGCCTCAGCCTCCTAAGTAGCTGGGACTACAGGCACGCGCCACCATGCCCAGCTAATTTTTTGTATTTTTAGTAGAGACGGAGTTTCACCATGTTGACCAGGATGGTCTCTATCTCTTGACCTCGTGATCCACCCGCCTCGGCCTCCCAAAGTGCTGGGATTACAGGCGTGAGCCACTGCGTCCGGCTTCTCTCTGCCTTCTTAGCTAGGTGGGGCTGAGTATAGGAAAATGATGGTTTTCTCTCAAGGTCCCAGACAAGGAGCAGAGAAGCAGTCCTTCTGTCCTCTCTTCCTTAACAGACACACCTGCCAATTTCTCTGTACCACATTCCAGAGCAGAGAAATTGCAATGTGTGTCTGGCCATTTACCCCTTTGTAGCCTCTATGTTGCAGGTTTATCTTAAACAGTAGGCATTTGTTGCACATTTGCGTAAGCAAATTTTTAGCGATCATATTGAAGGTAAACAAAGGTTGATATACCTTGAATAAAATGGTGGAGTGTGTGAAAGCTTTTCTTCCTCCCTTTCCTATTTTTATTTTTGTCTTTGGACCATTCTTTCCTTGAGGGATACCTCCTACCAAATTTGATGGAAGTTCACGCACAGCAAATGTCAGCAGCAGATTATCTCATGTGTCCTTTGATTTTTCAGGCTGGAGGTATTTCCATGTCTTCTGTGGGATGGTCGAGGAGACCTGTAGCATTTCTGTTACCCAGCTGTTCCTACACTGTGCACTGAGTTCTCAAAGGCCCTATCTAAATCACCTTATTCGTTTACTTCCTTCAGATTCTCAAATAATTGCCTTATTAGAGAGGCATTTTCTGACTACCCTATAAAAAATAGCACCTTCACATCCCACCCTACCCATCTCACTCTCTGTCCTGCTTTCCCTCCTGCCACATTTTGTATTTGTTTATATGTGCCTTCTTTGAGTAGAATGCAAGGTCCTTTGAAGCAAGAACTTCCTTCACTATTGTTTCACCAGAACCTTAGAACAAAGATAGTAGGAATTCAAATAAGTATTGAATTGTTCATCTGTTATTTGCTGGTCACTATAGTGCAGTCCTCAATCCTCAAGAAACTTTGTTCTCTTAGTGCACATAGACCCTATCCCACCCAGCACAGACACTCTGTTCAGCCTAGATACCCATGTTATCGATACTATTTTTAAATTTAAATTTAATAGAGACAAGTTCTTGCTATGTTGTATAGGCTGGTCTCCTGGGCTCAAGTGATACTCCTACCTCAGCCTCCCAAAGTGCTGGGATTACAGGAATGAGCCACCATGCCCTGCCTTAATAATATTTTTATACTTTAGTTTTCTTAGGTAGTTTATATAAATCTAGACCATGAAACTTCTAACAGGGAAATATGTTGCATTCTAGGTGTCTTGACTTAAACCAAGTTTAAATTATATTTTCATTTATCCACTTGACAAATTAATGAGTTTCTAGGTCATGTTCTAGGCACTGGGAATACAGTGGAACAAGAGTGGCATTAGTCCTAGTTCTCAAGGAACTTTCATTATACTGGGGCAAGATAGATAATAAGGAAATATGCAAATAAGATAATTTCATATTGTATTAAGTATTGTACTGTTTCCTGTGAAATCCTGTTTCATTTTGTTTTTTTACCAATGGAAGTATTTTTAAGAATTTGAATGGTTTTTCTTTTTGTCTACTGGTGTTTTATTAGTACTTCTTTAATAAGCACTTATTTATATATCATACTGTTAATTCATAATTTCACAAGGCTTTATCTTACCTTCTGTAAATATATTTGCTGCAGAGCTGCTCCAGTTGGAACCTAGACTTCCTTCTAGTCTTGACTGTATTTGGGTAGTCAGAGGAGACCACCTGATCTTTCTCAGATCTGCTCTTCTCACCAAGTCAGCACAAAGAATTCAAGAAACTCACAGTCATATAAATCTAAGTGGTTTATTCTCTTATAGCAGTTCTGCTTCTAGGCCTGTCTTATCCTGGGTGCCATATGAGGTAAATCTCTTGTCTAGTCCTTTTTTTTGAGACAGGAATCTTGCTCTGTTGCCAGGCTGGAGAACAGTGGCACGGTCTCGGCTCACTGTAACCTCTCACTCCCTGGTTCAAGGAATTCTCCTGCCTCAGCCTCCTGAGTAGCTGGGATTATAAGCACACACCACAACATCCAGCTAATTTTTGTATTTTTAGTAGAGACGGGGCCAACATGGTAAATGTTGGCCAGGATAGTCATGATCTCCTGACCTTGTGATCCACCCGGCTCGGCCTCCCAAAGTGCTGGGATTACAGACGTGAGCCACCGCGCCTGGCCTGTCTAGTCATTGGCACCTTGGCTAGTTTTTTTGCCCTCAATTTCTGCGTGCTGTCCATGTTGGGGGTATCACATTAATTCTAACATCTTACACATGATAGCTTCCTCTAAGACAACTAGATTCCTTCTCAGTTAAGACCAAAAGGGCCAGATTACCATCCTGTAGCTCATGTAGGGTGTCTCATGTAGGGGGGGTTGTAATATTTCTTCAGCTTACTTCATAGGGTTGTTGATTATGATTATATGAGATTATGTATATTTGAAAATACTGAATATGGAAGATAATATTAGAAAGTCTGAGGATAAATTCCTATTAATAGTTTTAATAAGAACTATTAATTGAACTAATAATTGAAGGTTTTTTATGTAGCAAGTACCATTTTTGAAAATACTTTGTAAGTTCAAGGTAGTAATTACGGCTAGGAAAGAAGAGAGAGGAAAGCGGCAACAATTGAATCTATAGTATTTTATTCTTGGGAGAAAAATATCTGAAGCAAGAATGGCAAAATGTTAAAATTCAGTAGATCCAAATGGTGAGCACACGAGTGTTGACTATGTTATTCTCTAAATATTATACTTTGGGAGGCCGAGGCGGGTGGATCACAAGGTCAAGAGATTGAGACCATCCTGGTCAACATAGTAAAACCCCGTCTCTACTAAAAATACAAAAATTAGCTGGGCATGGTGGCGTGTGCCTGTAATCCCAGCTACTCAGAAGGCTGAGGCCGGAGACTTGCCTAAACCCAGGAGGCAGAAGTTGCAGCGAGCTGAGATTGCGCCATTGCACTCCAACCTGGGTAACAAGAGCGAAACTCCATCTCAAAAAAAAAAAAAAAATTAAAAATTATAGAATGTATTATAACATTTGAAAAATAAAATATCACCTATTTTTTTTCCCCTAACCTCATATTCCCATCACAAGAAACCATCTTTTTTTTTGTTTCCCCCTCAAGATATGATCTTGCTTTGACACTCAGGCTGGAATGCAGTGGTGCAATCTCAGCTCACCACAGCCTCGACTTACACAGGCCCAAGCAATCCTCCCACCTCAGCCTCCTGAGTAGCTGGGACTATAAGCACGTATACCATGCCCAAATAATTTTTAATTTTTTTGTAGAGATGGGATCTCCCTATGTTGCCTAGGCTGGTCTCAAACTCCTATGTTCAAGTGATCCTCCCCCCTTAGACTCACAAAGTGCTGGGATTACAGGCATGAGCCACTGAGCCTAGCCAAGAATACCATTTGACAAGATTCAGTAAGTGCTTTAATTGGTATGTTTATGTATCTAAAAATGTTAATGTTAATATCAGTTTCAGAATATGAAAACACCAGCCTTGGCAAAAGAGCCAGACTTTGTCTAAAAAAAAAAAAGAATATGAAAACAGGTTTCATGTATTTAAGTAGCTAATGTGTTTTTTGCTATTAAATTTTATTGCATTATGTTACATTTTTATTTCCACAGGTTTATAAAGTTCTGGTTTCAGTGGGAAGGAGTGAATGGTTTGTCTTCAGGAGATACGCAGAGTTTGATAAACTTTACAACACTGTAAGTAATAGTCTATAAGATTTCTAATTAAAAGAAAGTACCTGAGGAAAATCCCAAAATAAAAGAAATATATTTGAATGATTAAACTAATACTCACGTATTAATGTGTCAGACAAGCAGACAAGGAGGGTAAGAGATTCTTCAAAAACACCCTAACTTTGGAATGCTTACAAAGAAAGGGTGGAGAGAGGACTGCTGAACAATAATAAACCATTGAAAATATGAGAACTAGATAAAATACCTTTTAATGTCATAGAAAATTAGAAGTAAGATCTTTCTACTTACTTCTCTGATAATTGTTGATCGTCATGGTATTTCTGGTTTAATTGCCCAACTGTAAGGTTTATGTTTGAAAGTCTATCATGAACCTATCTCCCTTCCATAGATTGTTTCCATTCTTAGAGAAGTATTAGGTTCCAGATTTTTAGTAGCCAACACAACTGAAATGAGTGTTGACTTTCAGCAGTTCTGATAGTTACCTGGGTGGTGAGATCTAACAGACCATTAGCTGTTTAGATTACTAGAACCTGTTTTTATATTTTCATAACTCAGTAGATCCAAATGGTGATCTAATCTAGTGTTTGCAGTACATACTTTCTAAGTAGGCAGCAAGAAGTCAGGCACGATGGTTCACGTCTGTAATTCCAGCACTTTGGGTGGCTGAGGCAGAAGGAACACTTGAGCCCATAAGTTCAGGGGGTGCAGTGAGCAATGATTGCACCACTGCACTGCAGTCTGGACAACACAGCAAGACCCAATCTAAAAAGATAAAAGTCACAGTCACTGTCGTACATTAGTCCATATCTTCCACAGGTAGCAGTGTTTGTGGATAGTGTTGTCTTGAATATCATAAATAGAAGCCAAAGCATGCTTCTTGAATTAAAAATAGCTGTTATGGAACTCCAGGTCATTAAGACAGTCCTGGATTTAAAGCTTTGCTTCAGTTTGGAACAAAAGCAGTTGTGCCTGAAATCCCCAATTTTTTTTTTTTTTTTTTTTGTGATGGGGTCTCACTCTGTCACCTAGGTTGGAGTGCAGTGGCATGATCTTGGCTCACTGTAACTTCTGCCTCCCAGGTTCAAGCAATTCTCCTGCCTCAGCCTCCCAAGTAGCTGGGATTATTGGCATGAGTCACCAATGCCTGTCTAGTATTTTTGTAGTTTTGGTAGAGACAGGGTTTCGCCAGATTGGCCAGGCTGTTCTCAAACTCCTGGCCTCATGTGATCTGCCCACCTCAGCCTCCTAATGTGCTGAGATTACAGGCATGAGCCACTGTCCTTGGCCTCAGATCCCAAATTGAAATTCCTCTGCTCTTATGCAATAATAAATAGGAATCTCCCAGTGTCATTTTTTTTTTTTTTGAGATGGAGTCTTGCTCCGTTGCCTAGGTCGGAATGCAGTGGTGCAATCTCAGCTCACTGCAATCTCCATCTCCTGGGTTCAAGTGATTCTTTTGCCTCAATCTCCCAAGTAGCAGGGACTACAGGTGCACTCCACCATGCCAAGCTAATTTTTATATTTTTAGTAGAGATGTGGTTTCACCATACTGGCCAAGCTGGTCTCGAACTCCTGAGCTTGTGATCAGCCCACCTCAGCCTCCCAAAGTGCTGGGATTACAGGTGTGAGCCACCATGTCTGACTCAGTGTCATTGTTTAATGAATGACAGATTACTAGGCATCCTCTGGAAAAAACTCTGTTATATATTTATGAAAGTAATTATTTTCATTTCTTAACCCTGTCTCTTGATTTTAAACATAGGAGTAAATATATATATGCTTATGGGTTATCATTTGTAAGATTTCTTTGAATATGTGGAAAGTTGTACATATATCAATTAAGAGACAAATTACTTCCTAAATGGGTCAGAATTAGTCAAACAGTGTTTAGCTGTACAACTTCCTGTGTTTTGTTAAGTCGTGAAAATTAGACTCCCGAATTATCTTTATTCAGCATTTCACTATGTACATATTTGTTCCTAATATTCAAATCACTTGCTACTTGAAGTTGAACTTCTAAAGATAATAGTGCAATTTAAAAATATTTTTTCCTATGTAAAATTAATAGGGAGACTCCATCTCTACAAAAAAGTAACAATAAAAAATTAGCTGGGTATAGTGGCGAATGCCTATAGTCCTGGCTATTTTGGAGGCTGTGGTAGGAGGATCACTTGAGCCTGGGCAGTTGAGGATGTGCCATGACCATGCTACTGCACTCCTGAGACACTATCTCAAAACAAAAACAAGAACAAAACGTCTGTAACGTTGCTACTCAGAAATAACTGTTAACATTTTACTGTTTTCTTCTGTTGTTTAGCTTTTCTTTAATGCATATACAACTGCACTTACTAAATACAGGTTGAGTATCCCTTATCTGAAATACTTGGAACCAGAAGTGATTTGAATTTCATTTTTTTTTTTTTAATTTTGGAATATTTGAGTTATACTTACCAGTTAAGCATCCCAAATCTGAAAACCTGAAATCTGAAATGCTCCAGTGAGCATTTCCTTTGAGCACTCAAAAAGTTACTAGTTTTGGAGCATTTCAGATTTCAGATTTTCAGATTTGTGATACTCAGCTTGTATAGTTTTAGATATTTGCTTCAACAAAGGATATTGAGATAGGTTTTTTTTTTTTCTGTAATTAAAGTTAAACTCTTGAAACAATAGCCAATAAGAGTACATGGGAATATCTTCCATAAGTTTTTAGTGATTTTTTTAAAATGGCTTATATTGGAGGCTGAGTGAGGACTGAAGTGTTAACTCTTTTTGAAACTCTTGAATACCCATTATTACATATTCAGCACATCTTTGAGGAGTGTGTAAATACAGTTGTACCCATCAAGATGCCTGGGTTAAGTTTGGGTAAAAATAACATGATTGTAGTGTCTGTCTCTCTTTCTCTCTCTCTCTCTCTCTCTCACACACACACACACACACACACACACACACACACACAGTTGAGACTTTCTGTCTTTTGCTTAAAATATTTCATAGGCTAGATTTACCCTCTAAACATGATGTCTTTTGTGAAACTCTTCATAAGAGGAAGGGGTCTAGAAAATGTCACCGAAAAACTCAGCATTGTGGGAATCCACACCAATAGTTTGTCTTCGTGATGTTTCATGAATTAAATAGCTGTTGATTAATTAAAATGAGGGTTAAAGGGGGGTTTTCAAGATGACGCAGTAAGAACAACTCGGGATCGCAGCTCTCAGCAAATGCTCAGAGGGTGAGTCAAAGCCGCATTTCCAGACGGATCTTTGTTGCCCACAGAACGGGGAAAGTCCCAGGTATAGGAAAGACAGGGGACGCAAGCGCAGCCGGTTCAGTTGTTGCGGCCGCTTCGGCCGGCGCCACCGCAGCGCAGGCACTCCCCAACAATCCGCACAAAACACACGGGCCAGGATGCCCTGCTAAACTGGCAATCTGAGATTTGGGAGGGCAGATTAGCATATCCATCTGATTAAACGGGACTTGGACAGTGAGCCATACCAGGAGATTCCTGAGAAGTGGTGTTTGAGCCAGCGCAGTGGCTAGCTGCACGGGAAATCATACAGATCCCGGTGCTCTAACAACAGGCGACCGAAACACCTGGGAGAGAGCCATCTGTTCAACTTAAAAAAAAAAAAAAAGAAAGGCGCTCTGAGGCCGGGAGCCAGGCGAGCGGGCTCGGCCGGTTTCACCCCCACAGGGACAAACAAAATGGCAACTCGAAACGCTCCGGGTAGAGAGTTTCACTACCAGCACAGCTGAACCCAGGACGGTGCAGCTCGGTGGGGGAGGGGCGTTCGCCATTACCGAGGATATCCGCCCCTACAGAGGTACACTCCCGTTGTTGACACAGTCTGCCGTTGCCGAGGCAACACACCATAACAGAGAGACTCCGCTGCAGGGCGGAGCTGGTGGCAGCAGGGCGGAGCCTGCCGTGGAGCCCGCGGCTGCAGGGCCCACGCCACATCAGCAGGGCGTAGCCTCAGCAGGCAAATAGTGACTAGACTGCCTCCTGGCTGGGCAGGATAGTGCCATGGACACTCATAAAGAAAGCCCCAACCCCCCCAATACAGAGCATCTGAGGAAAAAAAGGGGTTCTAAGAGTTGTGCTGCAGCAGAATTTAACGCACCTGCCTAACAGCCCTGAATGAACAGCGAAGCTCACAGCTCAGCACTTGAGCTCCTCAAAAAGGACTGATCAGACTGACATTACATGGGCACCATTCTGGGACAACGATAGCAGAAGAAACTGGTAGCATCCCTCACCGTTCTGCAGCTGCTACAGGTGTACTCCAGACAAGCAGGGCCTGGAGTGGACCTTAGCAGTCGTACAGCAGAGGGGCTAGACTGGTAGAAGGAAAACCAAGTAACAGAAAGACCTCATCATCAGCAATCTGGGCGTCCACTCAGAGACCCAATTGAAAAGTCAGCAACTACTCAGACGATAGGTGGATAAATCCACAAACATGGGAAGAAAGCAGCGCAAAAAGGAGGAAAACACCTGAAACCAGAACACCTCGCCTCCTACAAAGGACCAAAACTCCTCACCAGCAAGGGAACAAAGCTGGACAGAGAATGACTGTGATGAAATGACAGAATTAGACTTCAGAAGGTGGGTAATGAGAAACCTCTGTGAGCTAAAAGAACATGTTCTAAATCAATGCAAAGAAACTAAGAACCTTGAAAAAAGATTTAAAAAAAGATTCGAGGAAATGATAACAAGAATGGATAACTTAGAGAGGAATATGAATGAATTGAAGGAGCTGAAAAACACAATACGAAAACTTCACGAAGCATGCACAAGTTTCAACAGCCGAATTGACCAAGCAGAAGAAAGAATATCAGAAGTCGAAGATCAACTCAATGAAATAAAACGAGAAACCAAGATTAAAGAAAAAAGCGCAAAAAGGAATGAACAAAGTCTCCAAGAAATGTGGGACTATGTGAAGAGACCTAACATACGTTTGATAGGTGTACCAGAGGGGACGAAGAGAATGAATCCAAGCTGG